AATAGTAACACGTGCCATTATTTTTAAAAAGCATTCATATTACCTCAGAAAATTGTTCTGGCTGTTTCTCAACGCTGCCTCGTAGTAGTTAATAGCCTTAAAAAACGAAAATCAGTCAATTTAGTACACGCAATATACAGTAATCCTCCGTATAACGCGTCCCACTACTACGCTAATTTGCATACACCGCGGATCTAGAAGTGTCCCCAAAAATTATTTTATTTATTTTCCCTGTTAGTAACTATGCTTCAGATTTTAATTTTATCGAATTTACTGCAATACAATTCTGGCAGCGGTGACGTAAACAAATTATTGCTTCCTATCACTCGGATTTCTTATATTGTCTCATATTTGTACCAGTCGTACTCTTCGCTTAGCACAGGGGTCGGCGATCTACGGCCCGCCGGAAGAGATTACCCTTCATAGCACAAGTTTTGCCTTAATATAGTAAACGTTATGAATAGTTCATTGTTATTATTACTACCGTAATGCATTAACTATAGATGAATGTAGTTTTGTAATTTACTCTTGCGTACTGCCTACGCTGCGATAACGACTCCTGCGCAGTCCCGAGCTGCGTAAAAGTTTTTTTACTATATCCCTCACCCAGCAGAGAGGAGTGAGTTTGAGACCCAAAAAATTAGAAATGTAATGGATACCAATAGTGAAGTGATGAATTGGATAGGCAGAGAGAGTGACTGTGACCATCTTCATCTACTGCATTTACAAAATATGAAGATGTGTGTGACAAAGAAATGCCATCAGCTGTCTCGTCAAAAGATAATCTCGGATTATTTAAAAGGTCAGTTATTAAATAAGGTATAGATTTTTTTGTAATGTCGTTTTATCATATTTTGTAATTAAATCAATAAAAACATGTATTCGTATTTTCAAGGAAATAATTTTCGTTTCCGTGGAAACGCTCCGACAGACCATGGATTGCCGCTAAACCGGTTGTCCCCAAAAGCCGCGTTATAACGGAGTTTTACTGTACGTACTTTCAAGTAATTGTGCGATTTCACATGCGCCTCTCCAACTTTTCTTGCAAGCTGGTAGTCTTTCGGGTTGCGTTTCAGTGCATCTTCATAAAACTCGATTGCCTTCTCCGGCTATAAATATATAAAAGAGTTTGTGAGGCACGACCAAATTTATAACCCTTGCCTTTCTCGCCTAAGTTTACTATGAATCTACTGTGCACATAAATTTTAGGTAACAGGGTCTCGACATTTCCACTCATAGCGCTTGTTTGATCTTCAGGGACCAGTAAATAGCAATAACAAAAATAAAGCAATGGCAAAAATGACGCTGCATAATGTATAGCGATGTTGCTGCTACGTGGTATTCCCTGAAGTTGAATTTAGCTGGACACGAAACGTCAAGCTTATGTTAAATAAATCCTCAACCACGAAATGGCTAACAATCTGCAACTTCAGCAGCGGACCAAAAACTGGCAATGTTATGTCATATGCTAAACGAAGTCTGCTTGGTGTGTAAATTCCTTATAGACATTGGTGATGAAGAACTTTACACATCCATAAAAGCTGAAGTAATCTCTTATGCATCGACCCACATGCATTTATAGGGTTCCCGTAACCAAAATGCGCAATATCGTCAGCTACTACCAGTTATCAAGAATGCTCTAGTCGATAAGCCAAATCTCTGAACCTCACTGTTTAGTCAGTGTTCATTCTCATTTCGAGGACAGACGATACGATGAGCATTCCCAGCGATGTTTCAGCATCATGAACTGCCTTCAAGGGGTTCAACTTATGCTGATTATTGCGGAGTGCAACCACAATGGTCAGTTGCATTGAACAGCATGATAGAACACTTTTTCCGTTCTGACATGATCAGACCGGAATACCATCTTGTTCCCATTTCCCAAGGAATACTCGTTACTAGGCTGACTGCACCGAAGTGTCTATGGAATCCCCTGGATGTTTATAATACCACAAGCATGCGCTTGTGCATCGTGCAGTCTGCCTTCAGAACAAAGAATAGAACCGCATAGGGCTGGATACAAAATGATCTTTGGAAAGCCAAGCAGGATATAGTTATGAAACGCGAACGAAACAAAGCGTCGCTACAAATGATAAATAAAGCCATTTCTTTATTTTTATATGTCAAAAGCCTTTATTTATTGTAACTGGCCTCTTAAGTTACTGTGTTTATGATATGCTTGTCATAATCATCTTTAGTATCATTGCATAACTACAGGCTGTTTAAGATGCCCATTCATTTCCACTTATCATATCCTGATATTAGGATATCTTAACTGCATGAAAAGATTCATCACTAATGACAGATCTTCATTTACTTTTGTACGTCTAGTTCATTATGTGATTATACTTTTTCTGACTCTATAATTACATTAATCATTGCTCTGAATTCTGCTTAAATTGTACTGATCAGATATCAGAATTTGCTACAAACTGATACTGTTGCAGATGAAACTATATAGAGTGAAAATCCGTGCTAATGCACCTAACTCATTCAAACATTAAATGCAGCAATGCCCAAAACACATTTTTGTAGTTGTGATGAACGATGAATAAGTACCTCTAGAATATCCATGTAAGCATCGCCTAACATAATGAATGCTTGCGGGTTTGACGTTTCGTTCACGAGTTGTCTGAAACATCATAAATAACTAAAGAACTATATGAATAATATCCAAAACGTCATACAGAAAGTCTAGGCCATAATTTCCAGCCGTATTTACTATCCCATGATATATAATTTAATTTATTTAAATTTATTTAACTTATTTAAATCTTACTTCAGACAGTGAACAAACTTTCGTTTATCCTTTTTCTGGTTCAAGAAAATATTAGCCATCTTTTGTCGAGCGTCAAAGAACCAACGATTTGTTGGTGGAACGCCGTCTAAGATATTCAGTGCTTCATCTGTGTTTCCAATTGACAGTGCGAGGTCAGCTCTGTACAGTTGCAGAAACTGAGTTTCGTTTTCGTCCGTAAAAGTTTCCAGAAACTTCTGTAACAAA